TTCGAGGGTCTAGTTTTTTGGACGGTTTCTGCACTTTGTGGGCCCTGGGTGGACCTTCAGGGATCTGTGGATGCGTCCTGGGACCACCATCATCCTCACGGTCACAACAAATAGTGCTTGTCATCATCGTTCTGATTGATAATTGTGTCAGTGTTTGTATAATCTCTCTTACTTACCTCCTCTCCTCACCATCATCCATTTCGTCCGAGGTGTAGTTTTACCTCGGGACCGAGGTATAAGATCGAGGTCGGTTCGGGGAGGGTACCCTAATGATATTCGTGTTTGTTGGATGTCCTTGTGCATCCTGGGGGAGGGCACCTTCGAATGTTTTTCCCAACCATCCTGTGGTGTTGGGTCCTCATTTTGAAGAGACGGTCCCCGCGTTCCTTCTCCTCCTTCTCCCTCTTCTCCTCGCCCTCCTCCCTCCTGCGTTCGCATGCCTCCCCACCACCCATGTCGGCACACCCCTCACACGTTTCGTGGCCCCATAGGCAGCTCCACCGAAGGCCCCAGTGGTTGCGTTCGCTGCCTCCACGCCCACCCATTTCGGCACACCCTTCACACTTTTCGTGGCCCCATATAGGGAGCTTCACCGAATGTGCGTTCGCATGGGCTCCCACCACCCATTTCGGAACAAACCCCTCACAACGCTTCGTGGCCTCCTAGGGAGCGTCACGGCCCCCTAGGGAGCGTCCCCGAAGGCCCCAGTGGCAGGGTTTCGCATGCCTCCCCTCCCACCCATTTCGGCACACCCCTCACACGTTTCGTGGCCCCCATAGTGAGCTCCACCGAAGGCCCCAGTGGCTGCGTTCGCATGCCTCCCCTCCACACATTTCGGCACACCCCTCACACGTTTCGTGGCCCCATAGGGAGCTCCACCGAAGGCCCCAGTGGCTGCGTTCGCATGCCTCCCCACCACCCATTTCGGCACACCCCTCACACGTTTCGTGGCCCCATAGGCAGCTCCACCGAAGGCCCCAGTGGCTGCGTTCGCATGCCTCCCCACCACCCATGTCGGCACACCCCTCACACGTTTCGTGGCCCCATAGGGAGCTCCACCGAAGGCCCCAGTGGCTGCGTTCGCATGCCTCCCCACCACCCATTTCGGCACACGCCTCACACGTTTCGTGGCCCCATAGGGAGCTCCACCGAAGGCCCCAGTGGCTGCGTTCGCATGCCTCCCCACCACCCATTTCGGCACACCCCTCACACGTTTCGTGGCCCCATAGGGAGCTCCACCGAAGGCCCCAGTGGCAGGGTCCGCATGCCTCCCCCCCACCCATTTCGGCACACCCCTCACACGTTTCGTGGCCCCATAGGGAGCTCCACCGAAGGCCCCAGTGGCAGGGTCCGCATGCCTCCCCACCACCAATTTCGGCACACCACTCACACGTTTCGTGGCCCCATAGGGAGCTCCCCCGAAGGCCCCAGTGGCAGGGTCCGCATGCCTCCCCACCACCCATTTCGGCACACCCCTCACACGTTTCGTGGCCCCATAGGGAGCTCCACCGAAGGCCCCAGTGGCAGGGTCCGCATGCCTCCCCACCACCCATTTCGGGACACCCCTCACACGTTTCGTGGCCCCATAGGGGGCTCCACCGAAGGCCCCAGTGGCAGCGTTCGCATGCCTCCCCACCACCCATTTCGGCACACCCCTCACACGTTTCGTGGGCCCCATAGGGAGCTCCACCGAAGGCCCCAGTGGCGCGGTGCCTATGAGAAGAGGGGCCTAGTTTGCGTGCCCCCTCCTTCGTCTCATATCCGCGCGGTACTCGCAGCTGCATATGGTTGGGTCCTTCGCCAGGCTAATTCACTTTTGGCCGGCGAAGAGTCTCATGTTCTTGAAGGATGTTGTTCTGTTCTAGATCCGATTATTTGATGGACTCTCTTTGAGAGAGTTGAAAACATCGATCATCTCCGTCATATTGATTTCGGGTAGTCTTGAGATCCCGGGCCCTGGGCCCTGGGCCGAGATCTCCTTTTGTAAATGGGCCCCCCTCTCCCCCGAGGAGGGGGAAGCTGATTGACGAGACGGAGGGGGTCGACGAGCCAGAGGAGTGATGACGGGGACGAGAATGAGGAGAGCAGGAGATGGCGGGATGAGAAGGACGATATGGAGAAGGACGGGATGGAGAAGGACGAGATGGAGCCCGTTCCTCTATTGAATGGTGCATGACGGGCGTCATGGCCCCCGCTCCCCCCCCCCCTATGACGTAACGCTCCCCCCCCCCAGTGCGCTCCGGGCACTGCCGCCGTGCGTATTGGGATCCGCGTAGGTGTCCGCGTAGGAATCCGCATAGGTGTCTGGTCCGCAGGCGTCGTCGTCGTCGTCGTCATCGTCGTCGTCCGTCGCCGTCGCTCGTGGTTCGTCGCTCGTCGCTCATCGTCGTCGTGCGCGCGGACGCGGCTGGAGCCTGTTTTTATGTCCGGGCCGATGACGGCAATCATCTGGGGGTGGGAGGGGGTCGATGACGTCACGTTTCGCGCCGGCGGCGCCTGGGAATGCTGAGGAATGGCGGAGGACGGGTAGCACGAACATGTAGGTGACGATATGCACCACAACGCCTGTGTACATCACAGTGCCCGCGTGCACCACAGCGCCTGTGTACACCACACCGCCGATGTACACCACAGCAGCTGCGTGCAACACAGCGTCAGTTTGTGCCACCGTGCCTCCGGGCACAGCAGCTCCTGTGTACACCACAGCGCCTCCGTACACCATTCAGCCGTGCGCAACACAGCACCAGTGTACACCACAATGCTTGCGTGCATTGCAGTGCCTGTGTACGCCACGGCGCCTGTGTGCACCACATCAGCCGTGTGCAACACGGCACCATTGTTGTATATAGAATTTCAGAAGGAATCCTTGTGACAAAATGGAGCGCGTGTGGATTCCAGAGACAACAATTGAAAACAAATCGGCATGGACAAGGAAGCGCCGCTGGAATCTACGAGTCCCCCCGAGTCCGCCCGCATCACCCTAACTCCCATTTGCGTCCAGGAGGCTCCAGCTAAACTGGCCGTCGGAGAACCAAGTGGACCGATTCAATCGACCATTCTGCGGTGCACGCTGAGATGCGCACGTGCGTTGCAACGCCAAGCCGCACGACAGGGGGTAAGAAGGAGGAAAAGGAGGAGGAAGAAGAGGAGGAGGAGGAGGAAAACGAAAAGGAGGAGGAGGAGGAGGAGGAGGAGGAGGAGGAGGAGGTGTGTACACAGGCGTTGTGTTGCACATGGCTGCTGCGGTGTATGTACACCGGCGCTGTAGTGCTCCCAAGTATTGTGGTATACAGGGGCGGTGCGTTGCACACGGCTGTTGCGGTGTACGCAGGCGCTGTGGTGCACACGCGCGGTGTGGTGCACGCGAGCGTTGTGGTGTACACAGGCGCAATGGGCAAAGCGCCACTTACATGCTGCTCGCGTCGTCGTCGTCGTCGCTCGTCGCTCGTCGCGTCGCGCGCGCGGGCGCGGCTACGGTGCCAGAGCCACACGGCGGGGGGGAGCGTTACGTCATACCCCCCCTGTGGACCCCCCCCCATGACGCCCGTCATCGCCGAACATAAAGAAACGCGCTCATGGAGAAGGACGGGATGGAGAAGGACGAGGTGGAGTAGGGCCGAGAAGGACGAGGTGGAGAAACACGGGATGAGGCGGAGGTCGATGAGTGTGGCGGGGGGGGGTAATTGTGTATCCCTCTCTCTGGATGCAGGGCGGCACGCAACGGCCCAGGCCCCACAGCAAACGCACTACGTGCAAACACCGCTCCCCACGCCTTCCCCCTTTGCCCCCCCCCCCCCCTCCGAGGCCTGGGCCTCCCGAAGGCCGCTCCGAACAGTTCCAGGGGACACGAATGGGCGACTGGAGCATACCAGAACTTCAGCGCGCGCGCGAAGCGCGCGCACGTGGGGCAACCGCCCAGGGGGGCGGGCTGCGCCCGGGGGGGGGAGAGGGAGGAGGAGGAGGAGGAGGAGGAGGACGAGGAGGAGGACGAGGAGGAGGACGAGGACGAGGAGGAGGAGGAGGAGAGGAAGAGGAGGGAGGAGGAGGAGGAGGAGGAGAGGAGGACGAGGAGGAGGAAGAAGAGGAGGAGGAGGAGGACGACGAGGAGGACGACGAGGAGGACGACGAGGAGGACGAGGAGGACGACGAGGAGGAGGAGGAGGAGGAGGAGGAGGAGGAGGAGGAGGAGGAAAGGGAGAGGGAGGAGGAGGAGGAGGAGCAGGAGGAGGAGGAGGCGGAGGAGGAGGAGGATGGCGGAGGCAGGAGGAGGGCGGAGGCAGGAGGAAGAGGAGGCGGAGGAGGAGGAGGAGCGAGCGAACGAGCGAGCGAGCGAGCGAGCGAGCGACGGCCAGCGGTGCGGCCAGCGGGGGGGTGGGGCGTCGCAGCATTTGTTGAACACATTTGTGCTCACACGATGGAGCTCGATGTCATCCTCGGCGCTGCGCCGGCGGCGGCGGCGGCGCAGCCTGCTGACCAGGGGAGGGATGCGTACGTGTTGAATGAAGGAATAATGCAGGAGGCGATGCAGCTGGCGGGGGCGCTGGGCAGCGACGGCGGCGGCGGCCCCAGGATGACGTGCCAGTCGTTGTGCCGGCTGGAAGCGGCGAGGCGGGGTGGGCGATCTCGGCGCCCACGTCGAGGAGGTTGGCCATGTGCGCCACCTGCTGGAGAGGTGCCAGCCCGCACTCCCCCCGTGCGGCGCGGAGGCTCTGGAGCTCGGGTCCACCACATCGGCTGCGTCGCAGGCCAGTGCGTCCCGCCCGGCGGCTTGAGCGGTTGGGCGCACTTTCCCATGGAGAAGCGTGCGGAGGCGCAGGCAGCGGTCGATGCAGCGGAGGCCGCGGGCATGCTGGCCGGGGCGCAGCCGGCCAGGGCGGCGGCGCTGCAGTGCAGCCTACGGCTGGTGATGTTCACAGTTTCCTGGTGCAGCTGCGCCTGGCAAGCCTTCACGTTTCGAGGAACCGCGGCGCTGGGCCAGGGGGCGCTCGGGGAGAGCGTGGATGCCGCGGCACGAGGAGTCGTGGGACAGCTTCGCCGAGGTGATCCCGAACCTGCAGCTCGGCGAGGCCGCGCGCGAGGCCGCGCAGGCCTGGCTGGGCGCCCGTGTCCTCGCCGGGGATTGGGAGGAACGCGACAAGGTCCAGCCGTTCGCCCTAGGCATCTTCCACCGCCGCGCCGCTTCCAGAGCGGTAAGCAGGGTTTTCCGTGGCAGGGTGGCGGCGGCCCTCGGCGACGGCGAGGACTCTGCGGGTAACGCGAGGGGAGCGGAGTTCATGAACCAAGCAGCCCTGCTTGACTTGGACAGCCGGCCAGGCTGCTGCAAACTGAGCTTGGACGCCAGCAGCGCGCACAACGAATACGACCGTGCAGCGGCAGCGCGGGCCGTCCAGGACCATAGCTATCGTGCGCCAGCGCAAACCACCTTTCGCAACCAGTATCATCGGGGAGTCTCTTGTCGTGGTCAATCATATCCATGGTGCCCAAAAAATTGACGATCTCGTGGTCCCAACGTTTCCGCTGTCCGCCTTGTTTTCGTTGTGCGGGTCTTCTGTCGCGCAGCGAAGGCTGCCAAGCGGCGGCGCGTAGCGTCCAGCGGTCGGCGGGTAAATTGGCAACCCGCTTGGCCAATTTCGATTAAGCTTTAAATTCGTGCGAAGCCCAATCGTCGACTTTCGCGCGTCTGGCATGGGCATCGGCTGTGTACGTCGCTCGTCGGATGGAATCCACCCATGGCTCTACTCCGTCGTTGCTGTTGGTGTCGCTGTCGTTGCTGCTGGCACTGCCGCCGTCGTCGTCGTCGTCGTCGTCGTCGTCGTCGCCGTCGCTGCTTTTAGTGCTTCCGTCGTTGCCAAAGTCGTCGTTGTTGGTGCTGTCGTCATTGTCTGGGTTGCTTTCGGCGTAGTCTCCGTCAAGCTCTGCGCATTCTGATCCATCTCCCTCCTCCTGTTGATCGCTGCTAGGTTGGAGATCTTTCTCGTCGTCGTTCCAGCGATTCCCTCGCGCGCGTCGTCTTCCAGTGTTCACGATGATTCGGATCACCTTCCGTTGTGCAGGCTGTAGTAATGTAAGCATGTCTTTGGTTAGGGCCCACGAGCTGCATCCGTGCATGACATTGGGCGTTACAGTCCCACTGAACAGGCGTAGTCGACTTGCGCGAGGGTAGTGGTTGCATGTCAATTCGTGTCTCAGTTGGTTGAATCGGCGCCAAGGACTACAAGCACTGAAGGCCCCGGCCCCCCCGCGCAGGCCCTAAAGGGCCCCGCTCCCGGCGGAACCGCGCGCTCGCCTCGCCTCGCCTCGCCTCCCCTTCTCGGACACCTCTCGAGACGCCCCATCCAGTGCGTCCTGCGGCGCGGTGGGTGGCCCCGGGCCCCCCCCCTGAGCTGTCTGCCAGCGCGCGCCGCCGCAGGCGGGTCGCGCGCGTTGCGTGCGCAGGCACGCGCGCCCCCCCCCCCCCCTCAACTGCTTCGAGATTGTGGGCGCTGCGCGCATCCGCGCCAACCCGCGCAGAAACGACCCCCCGATGCGAACTGCCACACTCAGAATGGGCGCGGCGGCGGCCAGCCAATCAGCGAGCCATGAGCAGGTGGTGAAGGGAAGAAGAGGAGGAGGAGGAGGAGGAGGAGGAGGAGGAGGAGGAAAAGGAGGAGGAGGAGGGGGGGAGTACGAGAAGGAGGAGGAGGAGGAGGAGGAGGAGGAGGAGGAGGAGGAGGAGGAGGAGGAGGCGAGACAGGACGAGACGAGGACGAGGACGAGGACGAGGAAGACGAGGAGGACAAGGAGGACGAGGAGGAGGACGAGGACGAGGAGGAGGACGAGGAGTAGGCGGATGAGGGGGTTGAGGAGGAGGAGGGGGAAGAGGAGGACGAGGAGGAGGAGGAAAAGGAGGAGGAGGAGGAGGAGGCGGAGCAGGCGGCGTGGGGGGAGGGGGGTGGAGAGCGAGCAGGCGCACGAGGAGCGAAGATTAGGCCAGCAAGCGATGTCAAGGCGTGTCGGTTGAAGGAAGGTCGCCGGTGGGTCAACCGCGAAACCCGAGGGCGAAGAGTGGAGACATGATCTTCGGAGGGCCCCGGGAAGAGGGGAGGAGGGAACAGCAGGTGGAACGAGGAAAAGCTTCACAAGTGCCCCAAGTACTCAGTCCAATACAACGTTACGTTTCGCGCCATCTTGGAACCGTCTTAGGGTTTTCGCGGGCGCTCTCGGCGCCGTCTCGCGCGGCAGCACCTTCTCGACGCTTTGTAATTGGAACGACAAAGGAGTTCCGGGTCCCCCCCCGGGGGCCCAAAAGCACTTTCAATTTCTGCCCGAAGAGCGAGCGCATCAACAAGTGAGTGGGCTTAGGCCGCCCCTGCAGCAGCCTCCCTCGCGGAACCGTGCTCCTGCGATGGTCTGTCCGTCCGCCCGCGTTCTGCCGTCCTCTTCCGCGCCTCCTTCCTGGGGGGCGGAAGGGGGTTGGGGAGGTGGTGGTGGTGGCGCGTATGTTTAGGCCTCGCTCCCTCCCCCACAGCCCGCACCTTGAGAGCATCTTGATTTCCCGGCGATGACTCACCGGGCGCGTTCCACCATTCGCAAGGTGCCTGCTCGCAAACGCCAGACAAACACATGGGTACCTCGATGTAATGTATCATAAATCCCCCGCGGCGAATCCAGGTCATTTGCGGGTGCGCACTCGTCCAATGACAGGCGTGACTGGGGGGGGGGGAGGGGTGCCGGCCCTTCGCGCCAGCGCCGTCTTGGGAATGCTCAGAAATGGCTGTTCCTAGATGGCGCTGGCGCGAATCGTGCCGCGACCAAAGAGGGGAGGGGAATGGGTGGCGGGGTTGGCCACGGGCGTCACGGAGAATAACAAGGAGAAACGGACTCTTGCCCCCACCCTCTCCCTCCGAGTTACCTCCCTCCATCCCCTCCCCTCGGGCGGAAATTCGGGCGGTTATCAATTGCCAAAGTGTCCTGCGAATGTGGCCGAAGCTTCGGCCAGCACCTCATCGGCCACGCGGCTGGGGCCCGATGGCCTGCACCATTGCCTGAAGGATGAGCAGGCCAGCTTCCTGTGGGGTACCTGCTGCACGGATGGAGGGCCACCACAAGCCATACACCTACCTTCTACATTGCCTCTCTCTGCTCCTCTCTCTGCTCCTCTCTCCTCTCCTCTCTCTGCTCCTCCTCCTCCTCCTCCTCCTCCTCCTCCTCCTCCTCCTCCTTCCCCCTCTCCCCCCTCCCCCCCCTCTTACCTGAGTCCCCTCCCCTTCCCTGCCCTACCCAGTGGGCCCGCGCCGCGTTTCGCCCTCGCCCGAGCCGCGCCGCCCCCGCAGGAGATATCCGGCCTCACGGCCGCGGTGGCCCAGCTGGACGCCGACATGGCGGAGGCCACCCAGCTGAGGTTGGAGGAACGACGCCCGCAAGAGGAGGCGGAGGAGGAGGCGGGGAGGAGCGGAAGGACGATGGGGCCAATGGCGAGGAGGAGGAGGAGGAGGAGGAGGAGGAGGAGGAGGAGCAGCAGGCTGCGAGCGCAGCAGCGGTGGCACAGCTCGCATGGCACGTGTTCGTTCTCAGTCTGTTCTGAGCCTCGTCCTCCTCGCCCCTCCCTTACATCCTCATCGCCTTTCTGGTCCTCGCCCTCCTCCTTCTCCTCTTCCTCTTCCTCCATTACTCCCTCCCCCCCTCCCTGCCCCTTCTCGTTCTAGCCCTCGCCCCCCCCTCCTCCTCCGCATCCTCCTCGACCTCCTATCCTCTTCCTTCCCTCCCCGCCCTCCTTGGCCGCCGGCAGGAGAAAAAGGCGAATGAGCTCACCATCAAGGACTCTCAGGAGGCGCGCCCCGCAGCGGCCTGCCGCGCGGCTGCGCCGACCCCTTGTCTCGCTGGCCGTGCTCCAGGGCGCACGCGCGGTCTGTTCGCTCTCGAGGCGACCTGCTGCCCCTCTCCGTCCTCTTCGCTCCCCCATTGTCCTTCTCTCTCCTCCTCTTCTGCCTCATCCTCCTCCTCCTCCTCCTCCTCCTCTTCCTCCTCCTCCTCCTCCTCCTCTGCCTCCTCCTTCTCTGCCTCCTCCTCTTCCTCCTCCTCCTCCGTCTATCTCCTCCTCCTCCTCCTCCTCCTCCTCCTCGTCGTCGTCATCATCATTATCATCATCATCATCATCATCATCATCATCATCATCATCATCATCATCATCATCATCATCAGCATCATCCTCGTCCTTCTCTGCCTCCTCCTCCTCCCCTTCCTCGTCCTCCTCTTCCTCCTCCTCTTCTTCCTCCTCTTCTTCCTCCTCTTCTTCCTCCTGCTCTTCTTCCTCCTCCTCCTACTCTGCCTCCTACGCCTCCTCCCTCCTCGTCGTCCTCGCTCCTCCATCCTCCCTCCCACCTCGCCAACATCACCCTCCTGCTTCTGCTCCACCTCCTCCTCCTCCTTCCCCTCCTCCGCCTCCTCCTCCGCCTCCTTCGCCCCCTCCGCCTCCTCCTCCTCCCGCAGGCCAGCCCAGGGGAAGCCCCGCAGAGTGAGGGAGGGAAGATTGCCGAGGGATGAGGGGGATCGACCGAGCCGGCGGCGCGCCCGTCCGAGGACGGGACGCTCCCCAGCGCGGCCGTGGAGACCCGCGGGAGGGCCTCCACCTCCTCCTCCTCCTCCTCCTCCTCCTCCGCCTCCTCCTCCTCCTCCTCCTCCTCTTCCTTCTCCTCCTCCTCCTCCTCCTCCTCCTCCTCCTCCTCCTCTTCCTTCTCCTCCTCCTCCTCCTCCTCCTCCTCCTCCTGCTCCTCTTCCTCCTCTTCCTCCTCCTCCTCCTCCTCCTGCTCCTGCTCATCCTCATCCTCATCCTCATCCTCTTCCGTTTCCTCATCCTCATCCCCATGCCTTGCCTCCTCCTCTTCCTTCTCCTCGTCCTCTTCCTCCTCCTGCTCCTTATCCTCCTCCGCCTCCTCATCCTCATCCCCTATCACTATCCTGTTCCTCTTACTTTCCCTCATCCTCATCCTCGTCCTGCCTCCTCCTCCTCCGCCTTTTCCTCCTCCTCCTCCTCCTCCTCCTCCTCCTCCTCCTCCTCCTCGACTGAGGATGATGCCGAGGAGGAGGAGGAGGAGCCAAGAGGAGCGATGAGAGAACTTGGAGAGAGGAGTGAGGAGAGAGGAGAGAGGAGGGAGGAAAGAAGAGAGAGGAGATAATATAGAGGAGAAAGAGGAAAACTAGAAGAGAGAGGAGGGAGGAGACAGGAGAGAAGAGAGAAGATGAGGAGGAGGAGGAGGACGAGGAATGGCAGAGAGCAGAGAGCAGAGAGGAGAGAGGAGGAGGAGGAGGAGGAGGAGAAGGAGGAGGAGGAGGAGGTGGAATACTAAGAACAATAAGCATACTCATAAGAGGAGGAGGCGGAGGAGGAGGAGGAGGAGGAAGAGAGGAGGAGGAGAGGAGGAGGAGGGAGGAAAAGGAGAGAGGAAAGAGGAGCGAGAGCGAGAATAGAGGGAAAGTCAGGGGGGAGGAGAGGAGAGGGAGGATAGGAGGAGGAGCAGGAGGAGGAAGAAGAGATAAGAAAAAGGAGGAGGAGGAGGAAGAGGAGGAAGAGGAGGAAGAGAGAAGGAAGAAGAGGAGGAGGAGGGTGG